CCACACTAGCCTTTGTCCCTTGGCCGATAATACAAACGACAAAATTGGTTTGAAGGGGAAGAATGCTGCATCGAAGGGGCGTCATGGCAGTTGTGATCATCGTCACGAGGATGGTAGTCGTGTAATCAGCATTGTGTCAGTGGTGAAATCACAGTTTCAGTTGTGATCATCGTCAGAGTCTTTCAGGCTTTGCATGTGAAGGTTTGGGGGCATGTAAGGATTTTGTAAGAGTAGTAGCCATTGTCGTCGAACGAGAGAAAAAATATATAATTCGTTGTGCTGCTATGGCGAGGGTAGTGATGGTCGAAGCAAGCGTGGTAGTAATCGAAGCAGTCGTAGATCATGCCAATGCGAGGCAAACATGGCCAAACATAATATGGTATCTTGGTAGCTTCATCATAAGAACTCCTGCAAATTCAAAGAGAATCAGTCATCAGGCAACATAATTTATTACAACAGATAGCGCCACTCTGAAACACCCCCCTAATAAAAAGAATGCGTTCCCAAAATTTCGAATTTTATTATTAGGGGGGGGGAGGGGGGGGGGGCCCGTTTATTAATAGGGGGTAGGGATTAAATCCCCTCAATCCCCTAGGCCCCTTGATCATTTTTCGGGATCTCGGGTCACTCGGGACGGACCATCCCTGCGAACAGTCCAATTGGAGGGGGAAAGCTCAATCACAAGGATGAAGCGCTTCAAATTTCACTGGGTAAATGTAGCTTAATATGCCTAGATGGTCTTGTCCGAAAAATACGGGGTAACCCAAATCACCCAAATCTATGGCCATTCTAATTTGGAAAAATGACAGTGGTTGTCGTTGTCTTGGATTTCCAGGGACCTTATTTCCGACAAACCTCTATGTCTTCCTGTTTTGGTTGGTTCAATCTGATTTGGTTCTTAAATTCCAAGACTTGTTGGTTGAATCACCAGTTCATTCCATTTTGGGATTGATTAAACGGAATCGATTCCAATTTGTTCATGGTGATCCATTTTGCTTGCTTAGATTCCATGAGTTTCCCAATGGTTTCCATTAGATTCCATTAGTTTCCCCTGTTTGATAGATCCCAAGTGAGGTCTTCCCGTGATTTTTTTTTCTGTTTTGGCTCACCAAATCATCCCAAACCCCACCTGCAACTTTTCGTTGGCCTTGCGCAGATCGCTTGACTCCTCGCTGCGAGGATGCATTGGCTTCGGAAGAAAGGACATGTAAAATACACTCCGGTAAATTAACATAGACCCTGGCAGATAGGGGTTCGAAGACTGGTTTCCACTAAAAATGGCTTATTTTCAGGGTCTATGTTAATTTACCAGAGGGTATATTAAACATCATATAATTCAATGCCATTGGTTATAATTACAGGATGAACCAAGTAATGTACCCGAAGAGCGGGTTGAGATCCTATTCTTGATGGTGCAAAACCTTTCTTGATGAAGGTAATCCCTAAACAACCAACCATTTCCTCAATATTCCTCAATCTACAGTATATTCCCATCGTAACGGTGAATTTCTGGGATGGCTTACGCTCCAGAGATATACTATCAATACTTTTCAAGCATAATAGTCTCATTCTTGATGCCTCTCGCATTTAACGATCATATCGCAGTCTATACGTATTATATATATATACACATACAGTATTTGTAATATCCAATACATGCCCCATGAACAAAACTATCAAATGAACACCAAACATATTCAGCGATACATGATACATATATATATATATATATATATTATATTGCATATATACGTATATATATAATATTATCCGATAAAAAAAAACGTATTTCTCACTAGTTGGTGGTTTTAAGCAATCTGAATATGAGACCAACCAATCATCCCAAGTCTGGTTGAAAAATGTTGAGCTTTCCCCACTATGGCTTAGTTCAGAATCCCCACCCAGATAGGAGAAAATTCCTGATGTCATAAAGAATCAACAATCATTTATCAGATATATTATCATATAACATTCCCAGATGTCTATTGGTGGAAGCACATGCTTCATGCTTAAACATCTAGATTTTGTAACCAATCAACCAGGTTATATTGACCATTAATCACCACTATTCATCATTAACCAATTCACCATGATTAAGCCACTTCCACCATTGATTGGTTATGAAATCGGGAGTTGTATTTAATGATTATGACACCATTGATTGGTTATGAAGCCACCACCATCATGAACCATTATTCACCTATTTCCACCTCACTTCTTCCCATCAAGGAGGTTTGAACAGTATAGAGCTCAATACTTGGCTATGAGTCAAAACCTAGACAGTACCCTAGGTAACCTAAAATAGTTGATTTATCCAGATGGTTATTCCCTTAATAGGGTAATAGCAGATTTTGAATGACTTTGACCCATCCCGATTTAATGGCTCAATATATGACACCACCAATTTGATGTGAAATGTAGCAAGTATTTCGAAAATAGCACAAGTCTGTGATCGAACCATCATCAACCATCATTCACCAGCATCATCAACCATTATTCATTCTTCACCACTATTATGTTCACTTCACTTCTTCCATCTTCTTCCCATCAAGGCACTTTGAACATCTTTGAACAGTATAGAGCTCAATGTTTGACACCACCAATCAGCCCTAGCTATTTTGGATCTCCTCTTCGGCTTTCTGCACCTTGAGACCTTGCTGTCGCAGCTGCTCCTGGAAGCAGTGGTGCGATGTGAATGTGGCGATGTGAAAATGGGAGATAACATGAGATTCCATTTTCATGAATATTGGCTTTAATGGATTTTTCTATGGAGAGATTCCATTCTCCATGGATATTAATGGATGATAGTGGATAAAATGTGGATATAACATGATATAACGGGGATATTCATGAACATCTCATGAGGGATTTTCATGGGAAAAAATTGGATTTCATGGGAAATCTGTCGTATTGGGATATGCTTTGACCAAACATAATTGTGGGATATATAGGGGTAAACGCCAACCACAATAGTGGTACAATGGGATATATATATATTATATTATATATTAAATATTATATATTATATATTATATACTATATATTATATATTAAATATTATATATTATATATTAAATACTATATATTATAAATTAAATATTAAATATTAAAGATTATATATTATACATTATACATTATACATTATATATTATATAGTATATATTATATATAATATATATATTATATTATATATCATATATTATATATTATATATTATATATTATAAATATATTTGACCAGTAATACCACATGGGTGTGTATGATTTGGCGCAACAATGGGAAAAGATAAACCACCAGCAGATTTAGGTGTACAAGATGTTCAAACAACCCCATGTGGGATGCAACTGACCAAAAAATGAGGTTTAAGCAATTGGTTCCAGGGAACCTTTCCATATATTAATGTCCATATCTGAACCCAAACCCGCTTAGTCCCTTTTGACCTCTACCTATTTTTATTTCTCCCATCCCTTTCGATATCTCTATGCCGTCCATGAAGATGGTCGACCGACCATCCCAAAATAGATCAAAATGGCTAAATGAACCAGCAACTTGTGGCGATTCAGTTGGAGAAAAGGAAAGTAAGTGGAACATGATGAAAGATACCCTCTGGTAAACTAACATAACTATGGAGAATCACCATTTTTAATGGGAAAATCATGGAAAATCCACTATAACTGGCCATTTTCAATAGCTATGTTAAATTACCAGAGGGTATATCAGATTCACTGTGCGGTCCTATTGATTGATGGCTGAAGAGCCAACAAATAAATTGACACTTCTAAGTGGAGTCGTTCCACGCAACATAAACTAATTGGTGGTTGAGCCCTACCCCCCTGAAAAATATGAGTTCGTCAGATTGGAGAAAATCATCCCAACGAAAATGGGGAAAATAAAAGCCATGTTCCAAACCACCAACCAGTAAAGCACCACTGGACCCCTGGTGTCCTCGAATTCCATGCGGACCCTCTCTCGCACGACTGCCTGGTCATGAAGGTTGGCCATGGGGGTCGGGTCAGTATTTCAGCATACCCCAAACACGAGTCATTTCATGACCACAACATGTATATATATATATACATATATACATAGATATGTTTCAATTCATATTTTATATTTTATCATCATTTGGGGCATGATTCCGGCCCCAAGGACAATTTACCATATCACGCGTCGCAATCTGCAGGAGCATCATCATTGGGAAAACAGAGGAAAGAACAGCCAGCCAAGGAACATCAACTATGCACACTTCCTTGTGGTTGAATAAATCTCAGGAAACTCCATGATTATGGGTTCTATTCCAATCTACATGAGGGGAAATCCCCATGTACAGTGCGTTAATAATGTTTTTCTACAACAACTGAAACCAGCAACCAGTGACACTGATGCTCTCAGGATTGGAATCCCATTCCTAACATTCATAGAACAGTTTAAAAACACCATTCGGTTGATGTTTTTGGGATCATAAGTAGTTCATGAAGTGGGCATCCTCAGTAAAATTCCAGCAAGCGTCAAAAGTTCTATAATGGATTTGCCGCTATTTGACGCCCTATGGCGAATTGTCTGAAAAATATTAGTCATCGCTATTTCTTTTCCATATCCCATATGGTTGCTATGAAAAGCCACCATTGGATTGCCATTGATGATGTCCCGATTGGTTCCATTAAAATACCCCTTTTGGTTGGTTAAATCATTAGCATTTAACATAGGAATGGAACATGATTTACCTGGACCTTACTTGCCTAGTCAAACATGTAGTTTTCCACAGCTATGTTAAAGATCCACAGGGTAATTCACCAACGGTGCAATAACCATCTTGAAAAATATGAGTTCGTCAATGGGAAGGATGGCATCCCATATATGAAATGGGAAAATAAAATTCATGTTTGAAACCACCAACCAGTTATGATATACCATTTATAATGGTTATATATAAATCCCTATTAAATCCCATGAAAAATCCCAATTTGTTGCTGGTTCCAAACCACCAACCAGCCACCACTCCTCAGGGGGTGCCACGACGTCGGACATGCTGAAAACCACCTGGATTTGAGCGACAGAGGGCGATGGGTGGGATGATTCTGTTATTGAAAGCACATCGAAATACAGACCATATGAACCAATCTAAGAATATCTAACACACATCTACATATATATATACATATGCATATGTGTATATATATATATTTATGTTCGTATCAAGTGCCCAGAGGCTTCACACCGCGGCTTAGGTGAATTAGAGAGTCCTGATCGTATATGTCTAGCTGTATTATTGTCGAATGTTCCAGTTTTGAAGGATTATATCCTGGTTGGTGGTTTCAACCCCTCTGAAAAAAATAGTCAGTTGGGGTTACTATTCCCAACATATGGAAAAAAAATGTTCCAAACCACCAACCAGATATCCACTTGACATAGCATTTGCAACTCGGGGCTTCGTGATTTCATGCCTCACCTGGTCAGTAACCCGATTGAATCTGATGCATAGCGAGCAACTGTGCTGATTCCCTAGCAACAGTCATAGGCTTTTCATCAATATTGCGGGTGGAAATGGAAACCTTGAAACATATTGAAGCCATTATTCATGATGGTGGCTATCACCAGCCAAAGCGATATTTTACTGGTTATCCTCAGAACATCAACTACAAATGGCCATGTTCAATAGCAAACTTTTAGTTTACCAGAGGGTAAACCATACCGTAAATGATCCCGAAGGTTGCTGAAGTAACCACGCGTGACAACTCGACTGCGCCTCGCGCAAGCGTTGCTGCAGCTCCTCCATGTCCGCTGAGAGCTGGGCGACCTGAGAAAAACTTCGACATAGAATGGGATATTCATGGAATATTCATGGAAAATCCCTTATAAGTAGAGGTTTTAGTGGGAAAACCATCTATAAATCGGCTATTTTCCATGGCCATGTTAAATAACCAGATGGTATTGATACCCCTCTGGTTATGACTAACAAAGCCATGGTTTTTCGATGGCCCATAGAAATAGATGCTTTACCTATTAATAGCATGGTGGGTCTTTCCATGGCTATGTTAAATAACATGAATGGTATATACAAAATGGTGATTTAATGGGATGTTCGATGGAATATTGAAGTATATTTAATGGGATATTTATCGGATATTCAACTAGTATATACAATTATTGGGAGGTCTCCATGTATTCGTATGCCATTAATATTCCATATATATTGGAATATTCATGTTGGAATGATATATGTTAAATTTACACTGGGATATTCCATGGAATATTGATGGACAATTAATGGACGAATAATTGAATGGGACAATTATCAATGTTTATGGAATATTATACTATCTGGTAATTTAACATAGCTATTGAAAATGGCACATTTATAGTTGATTTACCTATTAAAGATGGTGATGTGCAATAGCTATGTTAGTTTACCAGAGGGTAACTGGAATATTGCTGCACATAGAATTTGGAAACGGGACACTATCACATGTTCAATGCCTTTATGGATATGCCATGTCTTTTGATCTTCCATGATCAAATGTGGATATACCATTGACATTCCCCAAGAGACATTAATGGATTTTGAACATGGAATATAACAGAATATGAATGGATATACAGCTAGTGGGGGTTTATGAATTGGGGGATGGAGTTAATCCATGTTAATCCTGCATCAACAGATTCAACAGATTTGTCCACAATATATATATATATATACATACATATCTAAATTGAAGTACTTATATATAAGTATAAGTATACAAAACCAAAGGCAGAAACACATGTATCAATACTAATATAATGTCTATGTATGTATATATATATATAATTGAAACACACACACACACATACGCACACATACACACACATACACACACACACATATATATATATATATACACTCTGGTAAACTAACGTGATGCCAATTACCCGCATATAACGATAGGTTTTTCCACGTTAGGTGTGTGTAAAATGGCCATATCCCGATGATAGCCACGTTAGTGGGCTTCCTTCCATGTTGAAAACCTTTAATGGTGTAAGATGATAGCCACGTTAGTGGGCTTGCTTCCTTGTTGGAAACCTTGAACGGTGTAAAATGATAACCACGTTAGTGGGCTTCCTTCCATGTTGAAAACCCTGAGTGCTGTAAAATGATAGCCACGTTAGTGGGCTTCCTTCCATGTTGGAAACCTTGAATGGTGTAAAATGATAGCCACGTTGGTGGGCTTCCTTCCATGTTGTAACCTTTGAGCTGTAAAATGATAGCCACGTTAGTTGGTTTTCCTTGGCCAGGGTCTCTGGGGAACATGCTGCTCTGGGAGACCCAAGTGATAGTCACGTTAGCACTGTAAAATTCGAAAACGCACGGTTACGTTAAATTACCGGAGTGTAATATAATTATAAGTCTATCAAAAAGAACTAAACACATGCGTATCAACGCGTACATGCGACAGAAGTTGTGCGAGGTGTCTGGAAACGGTAAGGCGGTCCCTACCTGCTTTCCATTCCTGTTACTGCCCCACCTACATTTGAACCTGCAAATCTGGGGTTGAAACCTGCCAATGACTTCATTGACTTGGGTGTTGTTGCAAATGATCATTACTCTCGAACAAAATCCCAGGTTTGGTTGGTGATTTTCCCATTCCTCATGAATTCTCTGTAAATGCCCACCAATCCATTGTAATCATTATAACCTGCCGGAAGCATTATGGTTTTTCGACAAAACAGTGGCAGTGCAACACCAACAATGATCCAATGAGGAGGAGCTTAGCAGGGAAAAGGGGAATGACCAATAGCCATTATCCCATTCCTCCATTACCTAGTGAGAAAACACATCCAAATTTCTGGTCAAACTCTGATTGCTTGGCATCGTCACTTGCTCCCCTCCGAGGATATCTCTGGGAAAGTGATCTGGTTTTAGGGCATCCTCTAAGGGCCATATATGTGGATATATATATACACACACACTGTGTAAACTGTTTATATCCATATGTATGTATGTATGTATGTATCTATGTATGTATGTATGTATGTATGTATCTATGTATGTATGTATGTATGTATCTATGTATGTATGTATGTATGTATGTATGTATGTATGTATGTATGTGTGTATGTAGTATGTATGTATGGATGGATGGATGGATGGATGTATGTATGTATGCATGTATGTATGTACATATATAGAGATAAATGCTATATATATATATATCCATATGTATATCAATAAACATATGTATATATATATATATATGTAAATATATTACCACAAAAAAAATATATCATGTATTACCTATATGCACACATGATTATCTATAAATGCATATGAATGCCAACCTCCTGGCCCAAGACCGGCCCTCTTTCCAAAGTGCACACCACCACCTCCCGCCCGCAGCACATCAAGGAGCTCGGGAGGTCTGTGCAGCGAGGAACTTCTCTAAGTTGCTCCTGGAAAACAGATCCCCAAGGGAACCCCATGCACTTTGGCTTATCATTGGGTTAATATTGGGTAATTAGTCATTTAATTTGGGTAAACTTATTTGAATACCTAATTATCGCGAGAACTGGGAATCTATGTGGATACCCACTCATTGTTGATGCATGAATTGGACATGTTTAAGGTTGGTAATTCAGCGGGTATTTACTGGTTTAACAAGGAGTTGCCGTGAATTTCCTTGATAACTGATGGTCAATGGTTACTATCAAAAGCAATTCCTTGCATTGACAACCGATGGGTCACAATCAAAGCCATTAATTTGGGCTTGTTCAGGGATTAACCAAGAACTGGTTGGTGGTTTCAACCCCTCTCAAAAATATTAGTCAGTTGGGATGATTGTTCCCAATATATGGAAAAATAAAACATGTTCCAAACCACCAACCAGATAATGATCCATTTCTATCCATTGAGAGTGGCTAATTGCGACGGTTTTGGCTAGTTATTTCAGGTGGTTCACCGAGTATTTCACGACGTTTACAGTACCAACTCTGCAATCATGTTCATTGACATTGGGTTCCAAATTCTATGTCGAATAACGGCTTGAATCCATTTGGACTATCAATGAGATAATCCAATTGCTTAACCACTTAGCTACAAGCGCTGGCTTCGCCTGTCTGACACGCCAAGCTGGATCTTTAAGTTGCCATGGTTGTTGACGGAGTGGCAAATGCATGCTAATATTCTTCATAAGCTGCATCTTCTTCGCACATAACAAAGAAATCAAACGTAGCAATGGGAGCCCTCGTGTATAAATGGATGCGTTCAGCTGGAAAAATCATCGAACTAAGCCAGGTGGATTTTCCAGCAAGCCAGGTTTGATGGTTCATCGGAAGGTATTTACCCTATGGTAATTTGTTACCTAACTATTGAAAATCACCATTTTTAACGGGTAAATCAACTATTTCTATGGCAATTTTCAATAGTTATGTTGGTTTACCAGAGGGTATATAAATCCCATACAAACATCATCCATCAAACTGCACTCCCTTCATTCGTCGGTTTTCCTCTCGTACATATCCTTTTGCGTGGTTTATACTCCATTTTTGTCTAACTTTTGCAGAGTTTCATCATGTTTCAACCACATTTGGGTTTGGCTGGAAATTGTGGGAAAACCCGCAAATTTGCTGGTTGAGTGCCATTTTACCGGATAACATATCAATTTGGCGGTACAACCCATTTTCAAACACAACCAACTGATAGTAGTTGCACAGATGGCGATCTATCTATCTATCCTATCTAATCTAATCTAATCTAACCTAATCTAATCTAATCTGATCTATCTGATCTATCTAATCTATCTATCTAATCTATCTATCTAATCTATCTATCTAATCTATCTAATCTATCTAATCTATCTAATCTATCTAATCTATCTAATCTATCTAATCTATCTAGTCTATCTAATCTATCTAATCTATCTATCTATCTAATCTATCTATCGATCTATCGATCTATTAATCTAATCTAATCTAATCTTATCTAATTTAATCTATCTATCTATATCCCATCATGCTGTTTACCACTCTATCCCCCACCGAATCATTCTAGGCTGGTTTATCACAAAAAAAAAACATCATTGCTTTCTTGGTTTGGCTTATCCAAGAACTGTTGCTTCACCTCCCTATTCTTAATTGCTTTATACCGAAATCTAATCACTTTTCCTTTGAGTTTCAACCACACTTTCGCATCGAGTGATCAAAAAACAAAACTTTAAACGCCCAACAATCCCTGAATATTTTGAACAGTTTGCAGTATCTTTGAATGACCAATTTGCCAATAGAAAATGTCTTCAACCACATTTACCAGGTCGTGACCCCACCTCTGCTGTTGAGAACGCTCCAACTGGTGTCGCAACTGATCCTGGCCGGTCGCTGGGGGACAGTCCGACAGGCCAGTTATGATAGGAAAATTGGAATCTAATCATCAAAGACGCGAGAACATTGTGATTTCACCATCAAACATGTGGGAAAATCGTGATCTGTGAAAAAATGGAGAGGAACATGGTGATCCAACCACAAGTTCTAGCAACCGAAAACCAAAAAAACGATCTGGATAAAATCGTAGGTAGTGCTCTATTACTTTACTATTTGGAGGTTTCCTGAGATAGGGGTCAATAGGGGTATCCCCAAATCATCCATTTTAATAGGATTGTCCATTATGAATCATCCAGCTATTGGGGTATCCCTATTAATGGAAACCATCATTTTTTAGGAGTTGAAAACAAATAAATAATTTGGTTCCCCTCCTCCGGTGGTCTCATCGCTTCTTCAAGTGCCTGCCAGGAGACTGCGACGCGTCGGTGGCAGAGATATTACATGCTGTAAAACAAAGGCGCTCTTAAATGGTGATATAATGGTGATAGAAGGGAGATATAACGGACTATAATGGAGTATTAATGGGATATGATTTATACACATTTATACCATCCGGTAATTAAACATGGCTGGATGGGAAATCCGCTGCAAATGGATGTTTCAGGCTGAGAAATCTATCAATTGGGAATTGCCCCATTGCTATGTTTGGTGACCCGGGGTTCTGGGACAATTGCACCAGTTCTGCATGGAAATTGGAGATAGTGATACTTTGTTTATTGTGTTATATCGTGATTCGACGTGTAATTTATCGAATGATTCCCAAACTACGATGATTCTTTGGGACGCCATGATTCGCTATGACATGGACAATATATATACATATATATAATATAATATATATATATAATATATAATATATATATATATATAATATATATATATATATATATATATCAATTATCTAGAAATGGGATGACATCGATACTCTGCCATAGAGAAACCATGAGAAATGACATCGATATGCCCATGGTAAACCAGGACAACAGACCTGGACAGCATCCATCCCTCTGACCGGGATTCAGAAAACCCCCCTGCGCAGTGGACCAGGGTTGATTCATCCATGTTGACATGCAAAACACTACGAGATCCAACGGAAATCAACATGAATTATTCCAGTTCCATGCCCCAAGATTGAAGGATTTCAACTCTGGGAAAACAAGAATCATCGACTCAGCAAATCAAAGTTCGTGGGATTCTGTGCTGAAGAACTCACAATTTCCACTCTTATCAGCATACCCAGCATGGCGATTGGTAATCAAACCATGAGTCATTTCATGTCACAATTCAGTAAGTACCAATGAACTGGGTATTTTATGGGTCCGTTGCCATCTAATTTTTCAGCCATCCCCAGCCCCACCACACTGCCTGTACATCCATCTCCGGTGACAGGCTGGATAAACCTCAGGGTGCGAAACATCGCAGGGTTCATGTTGCAACATTCCATGAAGCCGCCCCTCTCAGCCCTCAGCCCACAGATTCTCCTCCTACGACCTCTCTGTCCGATGGCTTCTTGACCCACAAGGATCACAAAGGTATTTGATCGCCCAGTTCAGCTGATCTCAGCTGGCAAAATGTCTCGGTAGAAGCTGCGATAAATTTTGATACCGGTATTCATCAAATGGTTTCCCTGTCATTCGCCTGCCCACTGCGCAAGTCGTGGCATGACTGGCAGCAGCACGCACAATGATCGTGCGGCTTAGTGCGTTTGCTGCAAGGGTGTCGCCAACAGCGTTGACAAAGTCTTTCCTGGCCTTCAAAGTGCAATGTTTTGATATTTGTCAATCGCCCACGATGCATAATACAGTCAGGCGATTTTTGCCCGGTCTCCCAGGGATCTGCAGAAAATCCGGCGGATGGGGCAGGTGTTGCTGCTTTAGGCGCTGGCTGTGGGAATCCAGCTGAGTGATCTGCTCCCTGTGAGGTTTCCTCAGGCGATGATTCATTCCAAGGATCGTCGTCCAAACTCGTCGTGAAGTTGCCACGACAGCTGCAGATCTGCTGTTCGGCCTCCATGAGCTGCGGATCTTCTCCTGCTTCAATGCCATTCCCAATCTCCTCTTGTGCTCATGCAGTCCCGGATTGATAAAACCCAAAAAGGGCATCCCACTTAGTATGATATATATATATATATGTATATATGTATATATGTACACATGTAAACTTGAGCCGCCAGTGTCACAACGTTTCTGCCAACAAACCTACGGCGCCTCCAGGGGTTGCCTGTGCGACTGTACATCAGTGAAAGATGATGAAGAGCTGGACATCAGCAACTTCATGTTAGTAAGTATAGTAAAACCCGGATGGTTCATGTTTTGACCATCAAATCAATTCATGGTAAAAAAAAGGGCGGCTTCCCCAGGTTCCATGGCTTTCTTTCCTATCAACATCAGCATTTTGGGCAAACATTCTGGGAGATTATCCATCATGGCTTATTATGGTTTAAATATGGTTCAAATATGGTTTACATATGGTTTATCCATTTTGGGATCTCAGTTTTGGGCAAACTCACGCCAAACTCACAGAGATGTTTGTGGCAAAAATTACAGCCCACGGCTTTAGAGCACCCAAATACTCTGGGGAACGGAATGGATTTGACAGCAACGCGAATGGCGTAACCGTGCACCTAAGCTTGAATCCCCATCTTTGACCATTCACGGCTTTTCTAGAGCATACACATGTATTTTATTATAATATGATATGATATCATAAGGTGTGGCATACAGTATGCAAAAAAGACATGTTTTCAAACAATGTTTGTCCCAACAAAGTCGCAAAATGTTGCTCCACCACAATGCCATAAAGTCTGGCAGTCACTGGGGATGGTTTATTGTCTTGGCTCTACCGTGGATATCTGTGGCAAGAGCCATTAATGGGTTAAGATTATCATGGTATGATAAGGGTATGAGAATGGTATGATCATGGTATATTAATAATGTTTAATTCCTATTGATGGTATACAATAGCCTAATTCAATGCCAAATAAACACACATGGCGCAATAAATCACCGGTGGGAATAGAGGTACTGTACATCTAAGGCCATATTTTGTGGGGTATTTACCTTACATAGCTCGTACATAGGCCCTTGACATCATCCAATTTCCGGAAAAACAGAAGCCGCGTGACGCTGGCGCAATTGCTCAATCTCCGTCGCTTGTTGATTGAGGCGCTTGGCTGCCTCTGGTGATGATGGGAGATCGTTTGCCATCAACCGGTGAGAATCCAATGAACATCTACCGATCATTGGGATATTTTGACTTACCGGGGATGGTTTGAATACCCAAACTTAGTTGTTTCAATTTGTGTGGCGAGGGCCTCCCCAGACCGAACAATCACAAAAATCCATCGCTTGTTTTCTTGGCCATTGCCATGCCATGGCTGGTGTCCCATGATTGTGGGGTGCATCATCTCTCTCTCTCGGTCCACAACCATTGCCATATCAGTTTTTTCTTGGCATTTGTTGGTGAAATCCCACCTTTCGCTGATTCAATCAATTCAATCCCATATCTTGGTGAACACATGTTGTCGTATTGAATCACGCCCAATGGTGATTTTCCATAGCTATGGCTGATTACTGGAGGGTAAAATCCTCTTTCAGTGCCCTTTACAATATTTTCCAATCCATTCCGCCTCTTCCTTCCAGGTAGTTGTGGCGAACAGTTCGGCCTCGACAAAGTCAGGAATCCGTGCCCAGCTTCTGGTCGGAAACGTATCAATGGTGAAGTTTGGACCCTCTATTAATGGATCTTTTCCAAAATGGGAGTACACCACATCATCCAAGTCATTAGACTATGGTTTTATTGAAACCCATCGTCATGGGAATCCCCCACCGTAAGAACTGCGCTTAAAAAAACATCAATGAGGACATCAGCTCGGTTTCTAAATGGATATCAATGGTGGATTTTCGGGTTTCAAACCATGGATCCCGGGAATTATGGATGGATTGACCTCATCTTGGCTGCGTTGCAACAGTTGTGTCTCGTGGATTTTTATGTCAATTTTCAGGGCTACAAACCCATAAAAACTCCCGTTTTCCAATATTGTTGCTTCTATATCCTAAAGCACCCATAGCAAACTCCCATTATATCCTCAATACATGCCCACTTAATAACCCCTTTGGTTTAAATGAGTTTAACATATTTTCTCAGGCCCCCAACGCTGAGTGCATCCAGGCGGGAGCGGAGCACACCATTCGCCTGACAAAACAAAACACATCACAAATGGGTTTTGAGAAGCAATGATTTTGGTAGTTTACTCCATGTTTTTTGGAATATTTATGATTTTGGACGTTTTAATGATATTTGTTTTGGGAATTGTTTATTGTTAAGGGTATCATTTAGAATAAAGAGTACCATTAATGAATATTGTTGTTTTTGGGAATTGTTAACAATGTTAAAAGTACCATTTGTAGCTAATATGTGCTACTTACTACCAACCATACTTTATTACGATGGTAGTAATTCATAATTTCCATGTAAATTATCAAAACTATAGTGTAGTGGTTTTACATTTAAACGTACATGGTTTTATTTTGCGTTTTACTTATTTAGAACTATATAATCAAATTTCATGTAAAATACGATGTAAGAACTGTCAAACTTAGTGGTGGTTTAACATGAATAAAACAATATTTCGCTGGCAGCAAATTAGTAAAACCACAATGAAACATATACATTAATTGATATTATCATTGGGAAAACATGGGTAGTACAACCCAGCAAAAAAACACATATGCATGGCTCTGTCTGAAAATAGCAGAGTGGATTTGATGGTTTATGATGGTTGATGATATTTTTCCGGTTCAAGTGGCCATGGATTGGGGTATACCCCATGAAAACAGATACATCAACGCGGCATCGCCATTATATAACCAGAATAGCACCAATGTCAATAATATCTATAAGTGAGTTTAGACCACTCTGCAACAATAACTGACAATAGGATTTTAACAATCACATTTTTTTACTCATCATGATAACAATCATATGATCTGTGCATATCCGCCGACCCCAGCCATCTGCAGGGGGAGCGCGCCCGAGAAAAAGTGGCTTCGCGGCGCCTTTTCTTCTGGTTTCAGAAAGCGACGTTAGGTAGTAGGCTGCCGTTAAACGCTTCCCGGCGCCCTCGGCCGCCCTTAAACCTTGCCCTTAAACCCTGCCCTTGAACCCTTCCCGGCGTCTTTGGCACCCAGCAGCATGTCCTTTGGCCACCTGCCGGGCGCTTTTCTGGAGATTTTCTTCTCGTTTCAGAAAGCAACGTTAGGCAGTAGGCTGCCCTTAAACCCTCCCCGGCGCCCTGAGCTGCCTTTAAACCCTTCATGGCGCCCTTGGCAGCCAAGCAGCATGTCCTTTCGCCACCTGCCGGGCGCTTTCCTGGAGATTTTCTTCTCGTTTCAGAAAGCAACGTTAGGCACTAGGCTGC